ATATATTTCTGTATCGTAGCCTTTATCTCCATTGAGCTATCTCAGCCGATTAATTGATAAGCTTCCCGATTAAATCATCCAGTTGAGCACCATATGGGCAGAAACAGCAGACAATGCTAGGTCAGCAGCAAGGACTTATGTTCTCGGTGGTCTCTCTGAGAAACATTATGGGGTCTCCAATTTGTGGGTTGCAGATCATATTAACGTAAGCACAGCTATTTTATTCTTTAGATTTTAGTTTACAATTTTGGTATCATGATTTTTGGGCTGAAGATTGTCTTAGTGCATGCGATGAATATCATATTGGACATCACACAACCTTATAGAGTAGATATGCTTGGCAAAGTCATATAGCTCATGTTGCAAATTTTTTTGTAACTAATGAGAGTTTGATACATAATGTTTGAAATCTGGTGCATGGTTTGAAATCTCCCATTAGAGAGATTCGACTTTTTTTGCTTTGAATTATGGAGTTACATCATAAATATAGCTGAAGACTACATTTTAGTGGAACTCTTCCTTTTGAAACGTCCCTCAGCATGTTCCCTTTGCGTGGTACCCCGTTGCTATTATATGACTTCTGAGAACGACCCAAAACTGTCATAACTACTGGTCCAAGTAGATTAAGTCAAATAAGTCGTCTAGTCTAGATTACTATTCTTGCTATTTGTGCATCACGGTGCATATGATAAGCAAATTATGAAATTTCAGGAAATTGATCTGGAGGCTCTACGGATTGTGAACAAATGTTACCATCGCGCGAAGGAGGTAACATACTGTCTTGGTGAAATGTTCTGTTCCCCTCTTTGCTCTGTCCTTGTCCTGTTAACATTTCTCTGCGTTATCAGATCCTTCAGCTGAATCGGAAGCTTATGGATGCGGTGGTTGATGAACTGGTTTGGAAGAAAAGCTTAACAAAACAAGAGTTTTTCCAACTAGTCGAGCTGCATGGCTCGCTCAAACCAATGCCGCCTAGTATACTCGACATCAGGGCCGCTAAACGTGAGAAGTTTCAGGAGATGATGATGATAAATCAGAAGGAAGCCACTATAGGAAAGCATGTGTGAGCAACATGGTGTGGTTTTGTTGTTGATACAGAACTGTCACATCCCCAAAATAATCGCTTTGCAGGCACCATAGTGGGCTCGACCATAGCACATAATGGTCAAGTTAGTCGCAACAGTCGTCATTATCAATTAACGAATTGGAAGTATCGCTTCGACTCATCGGCAGGTTTTGGTATGAGCCTATTTCCATTGCCATTTGAATGAACCAATGGGAATGTTTTGATCTTCTCCGATTTTCCTAGTTTGAGGCCATTGATTCCTTACATGTAGCATAGGCCAATTGCCTGCTGTACAGCTTAAGAAGAACAACGGCATATTCCCTGATCTCCTCTTCAAACCTTTTCCTTCATAGAGTATTTGTAGTTGGTAATTATGGAAATGCCTCTTGAATTCGCTCTGTTCTCTCTATCAGCTAATTGCATGGAATGGCATGATGCCAATAACGAGTTTTGATTATCACATTTCTGTTCCTTCATTTGTTTATTAAAAAGATTTGAGATCTACTTCATACTGGTGAACTATATGTATTCCCTGCATTGTTGATTGTACTGGTTCTTTACTCTGTAAAGTTGGAGGCGATGATAGTTAAACTGATTATAATTCCATTATATAATCAACAATTAAACAGTCAGGTCACTTTTCCAAGATGTGTAGATGTTGACTCAAAGAAACCTCCCTGACAAAAAAGAAAAAGAAGATTGCACATTACCGTCTAATTCACACACGTTCATTGTTGAACTTTCTACTAACCGACGACTTGTTCATTAACATTCATTTGAATCAGGTCAACTACTTCTATTTTCATTATATGAAAACGCTTCCCATATCATTAACATGTAACAAGGAGATGATATGTGGCTTTTATTGACATTGCACATTAAAACTTGTCACATCAATATTGGTTGGATATTGTTCATTAAGTTCATCTGACGGTATGTTCTTGCCTTCAATCATTTGATGGAGTTCTGCTTCTACCTTTTAGTCGCACTATGCATCTCTATTTCTCTCCGTGGCCTCTTTAGTCTATTATGCAACAGAAACTGCCACCAGTAGGGGTGTCAATGGGTCGGGTCGGGTCGGATTTTCATGATACCCGACCCGACCCAAAATATTGGACATATGTGTTCGATCCGACCCGAGACAAGACCCGAACAAGATAAAGCTACATGATCGGGTCGGGTCATGTCGGGTCGGGTCGGGGCGGGTTTGTGTTTCAAACAATGAATTCATAGATAGAGATAGAGAGAGAGAGAGACGCAATTGTTGCTGAGGGTGATGTTGCCGGCGGTGGCGGCGCGGCGGAACCCGGGGAAGAAGAAGTCGGCGGCAGGGTCCTGGGAGAAGGAACGATCTTAAGGGTTTTGGTTATTGTTTGGGTTGGGCTTGGGTACCCAAGCCCAATAGATCCAAACAATACCCAATTCTTTTTATTGTTACCCAAACAAGTTGAGATCCAACCCGACTCAATAAGAAAATTTCGTGTTCGGGTCGGGTCGGTTCGTGTTTCGGTTCGGGTATTGTGTTTGGTTTTGACACCCCTAGCCACCGGGTCCTCCAACTGTGCCTCTCTTTGGCAGCATCTTGTGTCCATCTCTGCCACCTGCGTGCCAAATATAGCGCCTTGGTTCGGCTTCAGATAGGCTTGCGCCCCTTGATGCGGAAGCCGCTCATGGGGCCCTTGTTCAGAGTCCGGCGGACGGCTCGAAGGCGCTCACGTCCTCTTCAGTGAACAACACGCAATCACTACCATGGCTTCATTTCTCTGTGGTGGCTGAGTCGCCAAAATCTCGCGTTACGGGGTTCTGAAGGATACGCTTTTGGCGGAAGTGGAAGCTAAGGACGCGCATGGAATCTATTCTGGAGTAGAAATTCTGCTTTAGAATGCATTCCGGAACAGAAATGCGTTTGTTAAAAAATTTCCGGAATGCATTCTGGAGCAATTTTTCCATTCTGGAATAAAAATGCATTTGTTAAAAATACTTGATTCTAGAATGCATTCTTGAATCCAGAATGCATTTTTTATTCCAGAATGAGTTTTGGGCAAGAAAAAGAGAAGCTACTTTTTGTAGCTTCTCTTTTTCCAGAATGCATTCTCCCCATTTTCTCTCTTTTTCGTGGCCTTTACAACACATTTTGAGATCTCATTAATTTTTTTTTTCAGAAAATGCATAAAAATTGAAATATTCCAGAAAAATTCATAAAAATTTCCAGAAAATAAAAAAAAAAGTCAGATTTCGGGAAAATAGGAAATTTGGTGAATTTTTTTCAAAAAATATAAAAAAATCAAAAATTTCAAAACTTCACAAAATGGCTTAGAATACCTTTGGGCACCCACTTTGAGTGAAATTTAATTTTTTTGATGTGCCAAAAAAATCAAAAAATCAAAAATTTCAAAACTTCACAAAATGGCTTTGAATACCTTTGGGCACTCATTTTGAGTGAAATTTAATTTTTTTGATGTGCCCAAAAAAATAAAAAAATTCAAAACTTCACAAAATGGCTTTAAATACCTTTGGGCACTCACTTTGAGTGAAATTTATTTTTTTTGAGGTGCCCAAAAAATAAAAAAATAAAAAAATTTAAAACTTTACAGAATGGCTTAAAATACCTGTGACCACCCACTTTGAGTGAAATTTAAATTTTTTTAGGTGAAAAAAAAATCAACAAATCAAAATAGATTTCTGTTCCAGAAATTAATTTATGGAGCAAAATTAGTCATGTTTTATCAAACAGATTTCTCCTCCAAAAATTAATTTCTCGCAAGAATTCCGGAAATCAATTTCTGACAAGAATTTGATTTCTGTAGCGGAATGGTTACTATTCGCGCCCTAACAAGCTGCCAAAACCTATGCCTGAGATGCTCCAGCTATCCGCGTATTCACCAATGGTATTATCCATGTGCTTCGCAGAAGAATATGGTGAAGAGAAAGATCAGAGAGACCATCGCAGTCAAAGATCTACGACCCTCAACTTCATCAAGTTCAATGTCTTCAATTGTGGACCCATTAGACCCAAAAAAAGAAAAATAAAATTTGGACCCATATTGGGAAAGATCGTGTCAAGAGGAAGGAATTACTGAAAATTCGTGCTTATTATATCGTGGTTTTTCAAAAAATCAGGGGCATCAGAGTCGGGATTCGAACCCTGAACCGACCTAGAACCTACAAAAAAGCATCACGACAGCACTGTTGTATTGCTCTTGATTAGAGACGTCATTTTTAAGCGTGCGAGAGGTCGATCGGGAACATGTAAGAGCGGACATAGCCTCCAATTTCTATATCGAGTCTTGTAATATCCTCGTCTTCACAAATGTCATGCCAATTCGGAGAAATTCATCGAGTTCAGCGACGGTGATTTCACATGAGTGCATCTCTCCCTGGCCCTTGCGGCCCGCCCCGGGCCCGCCAATTGATGACCTCTACAGCCGTATGAACTTTGTGTTTTTTTGCATAATTGAGAGAGAGAGAGAGAGAGTACATGACAGGCTGTCGATGTGGAGGAGGGGTGGGGGCGGGGGTGGGCATCTCGGCTCTAGAACAACGGATAAAACATATGAGCCGATTTCATAAAAATCGAATCTGGCCAAAAACGAACGATTAGTCTTTATTATAAAAAAAAAATTGAATTTTCTGCGCAAGGGTAGGAAAAAAAACAATTTAAAAAAAAAAAATTTGGGGGATGTCAAAACGAAACGAAAGCGTCGGTGGCACGTACCGGGGGTCGCCGTCGCACGGGCGACACCGCTCTCCGCTCATTGGCTGCCGTGATGCCCACCTTCGAAATTCCAATGCATCCGTTCCCCCACACACGCACACACCTCCCCCAAAACCCACCCACACACTCGCTCACACCACTCTCTCTCTAAGCTCTCTCTCTCTCTACACTCTTGCAATCGAACGAATCTCCGGCGAGAAGCGACGATTTCCTCGCCGTTCGCCGGCCCTCCGTCTCGCGGCTGCGGACCCCTGCATTTCCCCGGCGGATTCCTCCGGCAATCGCCCCGGATCAGCCCGAGGTGCGCTTCCGGCGTTGTTCTCTCTGATTTCTGCGCGCTGTTCGATTTTCCCTTCCGCGATGTCGAGCGCCGAGCTCGATTTCAGCTCGGATGCTGGTCGTCGTTCGTTTTCGGTTCGGTTCGGTTCGGTTTGGTCTAGTCTTTTGCCTCGTGTTTGGCGGCGAAACGGTTCGACCGGCGCGTGTCTGGAAGCGATAGTCAGTGCTCCGAGCTTCGCGCGTGTGGAGCATTTCGAGTAGCTTCTGGGGAGAGCAAGCTGAGTTGGTGGTAATCGTGGTGGTCCTTGGTGCCATGGTGCTGAATTGGGGGGAAATGCAGCTGCTGTGATCGAGATGCTCTTATTGGGTGTTCGGTGTCGTGGCTGATCCTGGAGTTGGGTTTTTTTTTTCTTTGGAATTTTTCTTGCGCCGTGCAGTCAGTCGTGACTTCTTGGCCTTTTTAAAGATTTGCATGAAGCTCTTCTACTCCTGGGGATGGATTAGATACCGTGTGTATGTGATGAATCTGCTCCCCTAGGAGTGTCTTCGCTGCAGTATAATTTTGTTTAGTGAAAAACGCTAACGTCGGCAGCTTCCGGAAATGAGAAGAAAACTATGAAACTCCGTCTTTATGGCTTGACTTTTCCGGGTTCTGCCATGCCCTGAGAGAATCCAAAGTATTTCCATGCACTCGCACGATTTAAATTGTCAATCTCGGTTCCAATTTTTAGTGCTAGGTACTTACTATTGTAGTTACTGATATTTGGTGTGGCCATTTTGGAAATGTCAAAGCAATTTTGTTTTTTGGTGAGGAGTGGATCTGAAGAGAGGAGTTAGTGCTGTTATCCAGGCACTCATATCATGATGGGATTACTCAATAGGGATGTACATCGTTCGCCTTGCCTTTTGCTACATTATAGTGCACTTAAATGATTAAAGGGTTAATTGGTTGTCCGTGTGGGTGTTTATTTTGTAACAATGTAATTTTTTAACTTGTTTAGGACAATCGATGTTTTCTGCCACGAGTGAGTTGCACATCAGTTTAATTTAAACTCATTAAACTTAATGACTGATGAGGTTTCTTAATGCCTTTCATTAATTCCTTCTTTTTCTGTCCTTCAGGATTTTATCGTATATCTTTCCTTCAAGATGGCATCTTTGCAGTTGTAGCTATATGTACAATTCAATTATTCTAGAGCTTGGCACATCAGATGATTTGGAGTAGCTTTATTATGCTTGACCAGTGCCATGATGGGCACTTGTCAAATGAATCGCCAAGGAGTATGGTTGCTTTGCCTTTTACTGCTTTACGGCTCAATCAACAAAAGTACAGCTCTCAGCCCTGATGGTACGGTGAACTGTTGGTTTGATCTCTTCACTAAACAAAATTTTGAATGCTGATGTAAAATCTCTACTCAAAGTTTTGTCATTAGAGTATCATTATTTTTGCCCTATCCTTGTAAGTCGTACCCATTTTGATATCGTTTTCACTGGAGATAGTATCATTCAATTATGTTATAGTTGAACTACTATTCCTGTGGATCAGATCTCTCATAGTTGTACATTTCTTATCAGGTCTAATTTGTGAAAGTTGAAATTTCGTTCTTTGGCATTCAGGCTAATTTTTATTCTTTGCAATTTAGGCTACATGCATAAAAAAGCAGATAGAAAAGTTCCTTTTGGGAGTAATGTGCTCATTGAGAGTGGGAATATGTAGTAGACATCGTCTTGGATCTACATGAGCATTTTTACTGAGACATCTTACTCATACATTCATAGGTGAGGCGCTTTTGAGCTTTAGATCTGCAGTCGTTACTTCAGATAACGTCCTTCTTCAGTGGAGACCGGAGGATCCTGACCCATGTAAATGGAAAGGAGTGACTTGTGATTCTGTATCGAAGAATGTAATTTATTTGTAAGCTCTAAACCTATCTGGAAAACTTTTCTTTAATCCTCTTGCACATGGCTTCCTATTATTTCTGTAATTATTCTTTTGGAGATGGAGCGGACTATGAGCTCTTCTTGATGTGTGACCTCTCCATTATGTGTCAAGTTTAGTTTGGTTCACGAAACTTTGGACTGATTCACTTTCTATCAGGTTGAAAAGGGTGTGTCAAGCAGATACTATGTTAGCACTGTGAGCTCAAACGTCAATTGACATGTTTGTGTGTTGAAGATCTTGTGTATGAAATTTAGGGAACTTACTTTATCAATGGCGTACGTGCTTATCTTCGCTTTGTCGAAGTTGTTATCATCATTGCTTAGCAGTGTTGCCTTAAGAAAATCTTATGCTCCTATAATGTCTCTTAGCCTTCAATTTTTTCATGAGAAAGATGAGTGCTTGGTAGGATGGTGAGGCCATCGGGAAATACTAGCAAGAGATGTTAAAATCTAGAGCAAGAATGCAGGTTTTTTTTAGAAGAACTTTAAGCTTTTCAAAATGAAAAGAACATCCTAACATGTAGTTTTTTCTATAAAGTACTTAGCTATCTCAAATTTCAATTCAAGAAGCAACTACAAGATTCCTCCGCCTATGTGCACTTCTGGAGTATTACCTACCACTCTGTATATTGTTTAAATATGCTGTGAGTTAAGTAGTTGGCATACTATATTTTGAGTGAAAACCCCCAATAGTTCCTCCTATAACCCATGATAGCCCAGTGCACTCCTAAGTGCCCACCGGAACTGCACAATGGAGTTTTTTTATTACATGCAATACAGATAAACATCAAAGGCATACACTGGACAATGTTATCCTGAATAGTCTTTATGGGATTGTCTAATACAAGAGTAAAGAGAAAAAGGACTTGAAACTGATCGTCGATCTAGCCTGAAAATGGTAGACAAGTGTAAGTGTCTCTACTAAAGTTACATCTCTTTCAAAACTCAAAAATATCTTTTATGTCTTATATTCGCAATGCTATTGGAGACCTTAATTGGATGTGTAAGGAGATTATGAGAAAACACTTTGAATATCCAGATCTCATTGAAGACTAAATAAAAAAATCTAGTGAAATAGTGCAAGAGGATCTATATTCCTGATGCCAATCAGTGTAAGGCTTGGCGGTTATAGTCTTTGGTGTTTTTGGAATATTGCGTGGTAATGGGATTTGCAGCTTGCGGGTGATCATTTTGAGGTTCTTTTTACTAATAAGAAGGTTTATGGTGTTTCGAACAGTTTTGCTTTTAGGGCACTGCCATAACCAGAAAAAAGGTTTACAATTTCGGCTGGACTTTGCTCAACTAGAAATGGGTTGAGATCGGATGGTATACTGTCTGGAATTTGCCAGTAATCGTTAAGTTAAGCATGATTCGTCTGCATACGTATCTTGCGTAGATGACGGGATTCCCGGGATTGATTTGGCATATGGTTTGATCTCCTATGGTTGCCATCTCAAAGAAACGGAACCTGCGTCATTTTTCTATTGGATTACCTTAAACTAGTCCTTAAGATTCATTAGTGTGTCGATGGCATAATAAATTGTCCTATTCTTCTTTCTCTCCTTTCTTTGATAGATTTAATATGTATGCTTCAAAAAGATTGAAACAAGCAAAAGTAAATTCCCTTATATTGATTTGCCGAAACACTTCCCTTATGTTGATCACAGGAGTCTTTCTTATCACAAATTGAGTGGATCCATTTCACCTGATCTTGGGAAGCTTGCGCACTTGAGATATCTGTATGTATTGTGAATTTCCTTCTGCCTTTTCGTCTCTTCTTCTTCCCCTCTATATCTAATGCTTTATATGTGTATTTTGCTAAAGATCTCTTCATGACAACAACTTTTATGGGGCGATCCCTTCTGAGTTGGGAAACTGCACAGAGTTGCAGGCAATGTAAGTTCTTACTTGGATTCTCTATTGATTGAAATAGCTCTTCATTTGCAGGATGGCTTTGTTTATTGTTCCCGTTTTCCTTTATAGAATCTGGATTTTTTTTTCGTTTTTCTTTTAATTCTTTTACAGAGACGGGACTTCTTTTTAAGCCGCTGTTGACACATCACAGAATTGTATTAGATGAAATTCTTAGTCATCATGCATGTGTGGTGGTTTAGTTTTCCGTTTTGGAAGTTTTATTTGAGTATTGTCCTGTTTATGTCTACTTAATGTTCAAGCAAGCGTTTTTTTTGGGCAGTTTTTTGCAGGGTAACTACTTAAGTGGTCGAATACCCAGTGAGTTGGGAAATCTTTCCAATCTACGAAATCTGTGAGTTATTTGTTCTCCTTATTGAGGATCTTGTAGGTGAATTCTACTAGCAATGGGCCTGAGCTCTATGCGATTGTCCTTCTACTCACCCCCATAGGGGGGGAGAGAGTGCATGAGTCATATAAAATGTGCCAGTAGTTTGTTCTCTCTTGAATTATTTAGTTCTCTCTTTGACTTTTCAGGGATATCTCAGGCAACTCTCTTAGCGGCGTAATCCCTCCTTCTATTGGAAAGTTGAATAAACTTGTTACCTTGTGAGTTTTTTGTTGACGTTAGACAGTGGAAGTTTGATAATAATTTATTGGAAAAGGTCACTCTAACATTCTCAATATGATTTGATTGTATGTGAAGCAATGTGTCTGCTAATTTTCTTGTTGGAGCAATTCCATCTGATGGTGTGCTCAGCAACTTTCCAGAAAGCTCGTGAGTACCTACCTCTGCAGTCAAATGATCTTTCATATTTGTTCCTTTTCTTTTAATGCATTATAATCTACAGCATTCTGCTGCAGTTTACTGGTTGACGAGAAAAACTTTTGCAGCTTTACAGGTAACAAGGGCCTGTGTGGAAAACAGATCAATGCAGCATGTAATGGAGGACCTTCTACGAATTCCCAATCTCCTGCATCAGGTATTGCTGGACGTGCTGATTGGAACTTCTGAAAGTTGAATGTGTTCTACTTCTTACCACATGATGGTTTTATGTCTTTCAGCCCAAAGACTAGGTGTAAAGAAGAACTCTGGCCGACTGCTTATAAGTGCATCTGCCACTGTGGGTGCACTGCTTTTGGTGGCCCTGATGTGTTTCTGGGGTTGTTTTCTGTACAAGAAATTTGGCAAAAATGACACCAAAGGTTTTGCTATAAATATCAATGGCGGTGCGTGCTGTTACAAAAAAATGCAAGATATTTGTTGAGCATCTTTTATTTTGCTATTCCTATCATGTAAGTTTGTTGACTTTTGTAATCTCAAACATAATCCTACTGCTTCAGGTGCATCAGTTGTCATGTTTCATGGAGACTTGCCATATTCCTCGAAAGACATTATAAGAAAATTGGAGACACTGAACGAGGAACACATAATAGGTTGTGGGGGTTTTGGAATGGTGTACAGGCTTGCAATGGATGATGGTAATGTGTTTGCGTTGAAAAAAATTGTCAAAATAAATGATGGATTTGACCGCTTCTTCGAAAGGGAGCTCGAGATTCTCGGAAGCATAAAACATCGGCACTTGGTGAATTTGAGGGGATATTGTAATTCTCCTACGGCGAAATTGCTGATTTATGACTTCTTACCTGGTGGTAGCCTTGATGAAGCACTTCATGGTGAGTGTTTATCTCTTTCTAAGTTCTCTTTACAGAAAGCTGCTGTGCAGCACACTCACAATGGTAGTCCTGCCGTTTGTGTACTAGCGGCACCCAATAGCACACTATTGGTTTTGCCATTTATATTAGTCTAATAGGCAGGAAATGCTTATTGATGATGTGATGTGACTTGACTTGCTGAATATGGTATTACCTTCTGAACAAGGCAGGAAGCTGAACAGAAGTACCGTTTCCTTTTATTGGTTGTAGAATAGAAACAGATGGGAAGAGCAGGGTGATTGAAGGGGATCTATTTTATGCTAGAGATAGTATCTCAAATGTCGGTGCGTCAGCATACTCTAGGTCTAACATTGTTCTATGACTGCTAATTAGGTCCATTTGATTGGGTTTGGAGGGGGGGGGGGGGGGGGGGGAATAGGCCACCAGATCCTAATTGGAGACAACTACCGGCACAAATAAAGATTTTTATGGTAATGGAATAGAACAAACCTGTAGAAATTAACTTTGTGGTCCATGAATTACTTACCCTGTAGAAGTTGTCTTCTTTACCTCTGTTAATTGAAGGATAGTCATGACTATGTCAATTGAGCATCATTTTCAATTTGGGAGAGGTGCTACCCTTGCGTGGTGATACTGTATCTGACTATTGGTCGTATCATTCATATTTTCGTATGGCAATAGAAAGAGCTGTTGTAATATCTTCTATTAAATGGATAGCATATAGCCTCGTTTTTGTCCAGTAAACTATAGTTAAGTTTAACATAAGCATCTTGTAGCACTGCTCATTTATTGGGTAAATTGGACTTTTCAATTACTTGATGTGCTTATGACCAAAAGAAATAAAAAATTACTTGATGTGCTTGCTCTTGCAGAAAGGTCAGAGCAATTAGACTGGGAGACGCGTTGTAATATCATTGTAGGAGCAGCTAAAGGACTTGCTTATCTGCACCATGATTGCTCCCCAAGAATCATTCACCGTGACATAAAGTCGAGCAATATTTTGCTTGATGGTAATTTTGAGGCGCGAGTGTCTGACTTTGGGCTTGCTAAATTATTGGAGGATGAGGAGTCTCACATTACAACCATTGTTGCTGGAACATTTGGTTACCTAGCACCAGGTAAGATTGTAACATCTAACCATGAATAGCTGTATTAAAGGACGTTCTGCTTGCCATAGTCTTAACTTGTCTAACTGTAAGATACCTTGACTTTGCTATTTGAAGGGCACGGTCCTTTCATTTGGTGCTACTACTGTAAGTGAAATCCTCTCTTCGCTGCCCAAAGCATGTCATTCTTGGACAGTGATCATGCAGTTGCCTTAAAATGAGAGAAGTGACCTAATAACTAAACACTTTTGTAAACAACCAAAATAATCCATCAAGAAAGCATTCAAGGCATCTACTCTTTCTAATTATTAAGTTCTCTTGGATGTTTGGCATGAAACCAAATCGACAAAGTGAATAGAAGCAGTTAACATTAGGAGACTGACTGACTAAATAGACCTTGATGGTAGCTCTGACTGGAAGTCATTGTGGTCAGACAAGACTTTATGGTTTTAGAAGTTCACTTAACGTTTCAGCAAAATGATATGTTAATTAGTTTTGCCCATCAATGTGATATTTCACCCCTACACTGTTGGTTTTTTGGCCTTTTTTAGTCCTTTGCAAATAAATACATGAAATCCATTTAATGAGGCAGTGAGAGTGCAACCTGTAACATAATGAATTGCAAGGGAATGAATCAGCCAACTGTAAGACAATGGATATAATTGCAATAGCATTCAGTAGGAATAATATTGACATTTAGTCCTTGAAGCGCATGCCTTGCTAGGTTAGTCCTCAGTCCTGTTGTCTCCATTTTGGTTCTGTCACACTTTTTTAGTGTGATTGGACCACTGATGGTCTCCAATTTTGTGAAGATAAGTTTAACTATATGTCAAGCGACAAAACTACAAGGACCAAAAAGGAACCAGCACCAGAGTAGATGGACCAGAGATGTGATTACTTGTAGTTTTATATTTCTTTGTACTTCTCATAATAGCATCCAGTAAGTTACGGACTGTGTGTTGTTGATTATGGTTTAGTCCTAGTCTGTAGGTTAACTCTCTCAAGGGATCTTTCTGATCTGGCTTATTTCTTATATACTAAGGTTTTTAGCTTTAACCTTTCCTGAATTCCTCAACTATTATATATGCAGAGTATATGCAAAGTGGTAGAGCAACTGAAAAGAGTGATGTTTATAGTTTTGGAGTCCTGGTGCTGGAAGTACTGAGTGGAAAGCGACCGACTGATGCTACACTAATAGAGAAAGGCCTTAACATTGTCGGCTGGGTAAGTATAAAATAATGGTCATTCTGCTGGCTCTCAATTCTGTTGAATTATTGGAGTTGCATAGGGTTCTGGTTGAGACATGGACAATGAAATTGAAATGAGTTACTGAACTTTTTCTGAAGATCAGTTGAAGGATATGCTACTGAACACAGGAAGTTCACTCCCTATGGATCTCTTGTTTTTTTAAGAATTATGCAAGAATGTTCTCTGAGTGTGCTTTTTGGGTGTATAAAACCTTTAAGGCTTAGCAAAGAGCTTTTCGTCGTCACATGCATTAAATCAACCATGGTCAACAAACCATGGAAAGCCATGATTCCTTTACTTAATCGAATTGGAAAGCAAAGGCTGTGCAGTGTACTTCACAGGAAATTGAAATGGGATATGGAACTCTGTAGTAGTCTACATATCTCTGTCAGATGTATTTGATGCTGACTCTGCTGAGTGTATAAAACGTTTGCTTGACTTCTCCCCATTATAACAAGATGTTGAATATGAGAAACTGTAGTAACTAGTTAATGCAGATGAACACTACAAAGATCCTTTTGCCTGCTATGTAGCTTTACTGGAATGTTGTAGCTTATTGTGACTATGAGTATTTGTTACCTGATCTAGTTTCTCATCAAGACCTGAATTGTGTTGTTCATATCTGCAGAGAAGATTAACTTTATCTAGATGTCTCGCTTTTTGCTTTCCTTCTCAAAACTTTTGGGATTCTCTAGTCCCATTTATTAAATGAATGAAAGCTGGATGCCCTTATTATATCTCATTGGTACATAGTTCTTGTCTGAGATCTGAAGTCCCTCAGGTCTTTCCGAGTAAATAATTCCACTACTTCCGGAAACCACCCAGATTGATGTCAATGCACGTGCTTGTGTTCTACATGCATGCATGTGCGTGTGTGATTGTGATTAGTATTGGCGTAGTAGTGATCCATTTTCCTTGGCAGTTAAACTTGCTCCTCCCAGAAAATAGGCAACGAGAGATTGTCGATCCACAGTGTGAAGGTGTGCAGACGGAAAGTCTTGATGCTCTGCTTGGTATCGCAATTCAGTGCGTCTCCTCTAGCCCAGAGGATAGGCCAACCATGCACAGGGTGCTCCAGTTACTTGAGTCGGAGGTCATGACCCCTTGCCCAAGTGATTTATATGATTCCAACTCCGATTGAATTTCCTCATGAGAAGACGGATATGTCGAGATTCATATCCATGAATGTAAAGTTGGTGAACAAATGATGGAGTGAGAGGGAACTCAGGAGTCCAAGCGGTTCTCTTCTCCAAATTGGCTTCATTCTTTTAAGTGGATATGTGGACAATCAGAAACACACTGCCACTGGGCTCCCTCGACTTCTGAGCATTTGGTCGAGCATTGGCAAGACTTGTGGCGTCATTATTTTGCACAGATGCGGTCTGAAATTTGTTTCTCCACGTCAACAAAAATTCCACTTGTGGCAAGTCATATTCAACCCCCTGCTTTCTTTTTCATGATTTTTTTTTTCTTTTTTGTGATTCCCTCGGGCATTTATTTTGTCAAATTTAAGTGTATATGGCATTGTATAAGTTGAATTTGGGTACCTGCGAGAAGGAATCTTGTTCTTCATGCCATTTTTGTAAAATATATTATGATTAACTACAGTAGTCGATTTGTTGGATATGCATCGACAGCATCTCTTTTCCAACAATTGCTTATCATTATTTTCCCCCGATACTTTCCAATGACGAATTTTACCCTTCTTTATCCCCCTTTTTGGTGGAGAGACAGGAATGCAACAAGCATCAAAGCAGGGATTTTCTGTGCTGTCACCATGTTAGAGAACTCTTGAGTGAAACTGTTCTGGTACCGTGGCTAGTATGATGTGAAATTCCTCGAACCTGCTAGTTTTCTTGGTTTTGTCCCCAAATTGTCGATTTTGTGCGAAGTCTTGATGGCTGGTTAAAAGCACCGATCATTTTGTAGTTGTAGATGTTATTTCTGTTGCACCTTGTATAGAATTCGTGATCAAGGAACAGCTGTCAAGTGTGTGAGGATTTGGACATGAAATAACAGGCGTTATGAGCAGAATAGGAAGATATCTGAATTGCAAGGAGTTCAAACTTGTCGAGGTAGAACGACTAAGGAAAAGTGTAGATAACACCATCACTTCGGTAACTCCTGTCCAATGGCACATACATAACATATATGATCTTAACACTACTAAGATCTTGCTTACTTCCGGAAGAAAATGAAATATAAGAGTGTTTGCCGAGTGCCTCCATTGTTGCAAGGTGATGGTCTTGAAATTGAAACAATCATCTCTTATCCAACATCGATGGAAACTCTTGATCGAGGCGATGAATTATTTCCAAGTGGTAAAAAGTACGTCCTGCAAGTTAGAGAAAATCTTGTCAATGCCTTACGTTTTTTACGAACCAAATAGAGCTTCAGTTGAATATGCCTCCGAGCCATAGATATTCCTAGTTTCTTTAGTTTGACCTGAAGCAGAACATAAATGTCTCCACAATATGGACAAAAGTATCCATTCAGGTTTGATAGCTTCCCAGCAAGACTTTTTTGTTAAGATATCACAGTTGGTCCAGAGCGCCCTTGATAACTATAAGTGATACTTGCGTGCACGGTAGTTTCTTTGATTAGAGAAAATTGTCCAAAAAGTCCTCTTAATCTTATTGCATTTTGGCCAATTCAGTTCTAAACCTTTTAATTTTGCCAATTGAGTCATAAATTTTTTCATGTTTTGCAAATTGAGTCAATCCGGCTATTTTTAGAAAGAAATTGCTTATGTGGATGTCAGTCGTCCTTCGTGGCACGGTCCGAGCTGACGTTTACAATTTTTATAATTTTTTTTTATTTCTTTTCATTTTTTTTCTTCTAAGCCCCACGAGGGTCGCAAGGTTGCTAGCCAACTCTTGTTGGTCATAGGTGAGAGCCGGCCGACCCTCACTGGCCACTAGGCAAGGGCCACGGGCGAGGGCCACGAAGTGCAATAGTTAACAAATAGGTTCAAGAGCCGTATACTTGCTTATGGTCAAATAGGTTCGAGGAAAACATATACCATATTGGGTATAGCTAATGCTTCGAAATTAAAAAAATTGTACCGCATTCTCTCGAGCAAATATACCAGACTAGTCAAACCTTTTTAGCCCAAAGGCAGAAGTACAAATTGCAAGTACTATTTACTATATTTGTTTTTTTTAATCTTTATTTGCACAATGCTAATATGGAGGCGCAATTCAGGCTTCAATGTATATAATGAAACAATTCGTGATTTGGTGTTACCAATTAGAAGTAATTCTTTGGATATGGCGCGTGGTGAACGTGGAAGACGCCAGACGGTACAAATTAAACATGATGCAAATGGAAATGCCTTTGTACCTGACCTCACCATAGTTGATGTATGCAGTATTAAAGAGATTAGCTTGCATTTGGAGCAGGCAGTACAAAGCAGGCAGGTGTGTAGACAGCTCCTTATTTGTTCTTGTTAATTTAGTTGTCAACTATGGTTTTACGCGCCTAGCAAAAGATTTCCTACATTCTATGGCATTAGAATTTATCAATTTTAGCTTAATGTGGTTTAACGAGTCTGAAAGCTCATTTATGTTGCCTACTTCTTGTCTTTTTTTTTTTTTTATAGCAATCATCAAGAAGTCACTTTGTTTTTACATTGCGGATATTTGGGGTGACTAAGGTAGAAACAATTGTGTCACTATGTTGTTCTGTCCATCTGTGTGCTACACTACTATCTGTTCGTCGCTTCAGCTGTTCCACCAATTTTTTGTAATTATGCACTTGTCTCTAGCACACTGAACACCAGGTGCGAGGTGTGCTGAACTTCCTTGATCACAAGAGTTCTTTCTATGGGTAAGATAAGGAGGTTTATTGGACACTAGTAAAAAGGGATTCTTGTTCACATGTTCTTATAGTATGGCTATATTAGAATTCAAGAAAACATTTGTACGTAAAGGTTGAGAAGTATTAACTGATTATTTGATCTGTTGTCCAATTGCTCCCTCTCCCAGGACTCAGAGTCCCTAAGCAAAATGTTAATGATACATTTATACAGTCAATCGCTGATCGAGCTAAGCACGTGCTCAAGATCTAAATAAACTATAATCAACTTTCCCTATAAATTTCAATGGCATTATTTGCCTTTACTAAATTGTGCCCTGAATGTACCAACTCCCATACGGTATTACTAATTTCAATTTATGCGATTCATCCACATTTCTCATATTAAATTATCAACTACTTCTCAGTTGCCGACTCTCTTTAGAGTTAGTAACCAAGGTTTATATGATTGATTTCAACAACCAACTTTGGTTATTGGATTATTTAATCAGAAGTAAAGTTGGTAAGTCACCAAATAAAGAAACATGATGAATCAGTAAAGAATGTTTGACGTTTCAATTTGTTATTAAAAGGCACCCAAATCGACTGCATCCTTGATTTTTGTTAACAGTGGCAAAGTTCCAACTATACTAAGAATTGAGTTGTCCAATCTCACCCTCTCTCACGTCTTAGAGCTCCTAAGCAAAATTTAATGATACATTTATACAGTCAACACTGACCGAGTTAAGCACGTACTCAAAATCTAAGTTAAACTGTAATCAACTTTCCCTATTGAATTCAATTGCATTATTGCCCTACATCCAGTTGACTAGAGATGATCCGATTGTGTTCGAACCGATCATAAGCGGGTCGGGTTCTCAAGAACAATAGCAAACTAGAGGCTAATCCCACAACCGAAATGCATCCCCACCACACAAACGTTTGGAAATAGCAGTCCTTCCCCATGCACACCATCGAGTCGGCGACCATGCTTATGCCATAGCCGGATCTCGTGTTCGCGTCGTAGACAATGGCTGCGAGGAGCCCGTATAACAGTGACCCAATGGGTATGTTGGTGATGAGGATGTTGTGGTTCACCCCAACGCTGTTGGGGCCGAACAGTTCGGATGTGATCGAGACCGCCGCTGCGAATATGAACCCTGAGCTAAGCCCAATTAAGGCGGTGCTCGCGTGCAACGCTGCACTGCTGCTCGACGCGGCAAGCAGGAAGAAGGCGACCGGAGTGGGCAAGAGCGCGACCGTCAACCACCCGGTCCTCGCAAAGTAGAACTTCCTGCAAAAGGACGAAATTCGGGTTAGAGGCAACAACATTTGATCAAGTTGGCTAGCAAGTTAACAGTATTTGAAATTGAGTACAATGACCTTGGTTCACTTACGTGCGAATGTAGTCGGGAGCGGCGGAGAACAAGCGGCCGAAGAAGGAGAAGGATGAGTAGAGTGTGACGAGCGTCGTGGTGTTCGAACTCTGTCCCAGGGATTCAGCAATCTGGCCTAGGTTGTTGCTGTACACAAGGCCAATGGTCCCTCCGCAGAAGTATGCAATGTAGTACAACCAGAAATCCAACCTCCTCACCAGCAATTTTGCAGGATGTTCTTCACCGAGCATTGCCAATTGATGCCTCCCCACAATGCTCTCGCAACACCCCTCGGCCTTGTGCCTCGTCAGCCCGTACGACAACCCGTTATCGCTGATCAGGTGTGTCAGCCCGTTCTCGTGGATGCTTGCCTCGCGGGTTATCAGCTCCTTATGCAGCTCGAGGTCGTCGTCGTCAACCAGGACGAACGACGAGCCCTCGACCCGGAAGCTAGAGTGGATCGCCTGGCGGAACCAGCCCCGAGCGTACACGATCCCAGGGATGCATAGGGGGAAAAACAGCAGAAACAGCGCTCCCCCGAGGAGGAGGAGGGCTGAGGCGGTGTCGGAGGTCGAGCCTACGAGGAGGAGGTAGACGCCCGTGATGATGGCGAGGATGTTGAGGATGAGGAAGATGAGGGAGTCGCGGCCAACCGCGTCGGGCGGGAGGGGGTCGAGCGAGGGCTGCCGGAGGATCGGGACGAGGGACATGAAGGAGGTGATGAGGGGGACCAGGGCGTTGAGGAGGAGGTAGAGAGCGCTGGAGGACGGGTTGATGGCGTCGGCGATCAGGGTGTAAAGGGCGGCGCTCACACCGTTGAAGCTGATCGTGAGGGACAGCGCGAGCGCCCTGTTGGCCGGGAAGTTGCGGATGCACAAGACGAAGCACACGGTGTTGAACCAGCAGATGCTGCAACCGGCCAACAAGCATAGAAGAAAGACCTGCCACAACGTAATAAGGGGAGAATAGAATCAGAAATTTCAAAGTTGTCCTAAAATTAGAATTAAAAAAGAACAGTCAACAATAATTCGTAATTTTAGCACCATATATAAATTGTCAGATATATAATTAGGTATATCATATATTTATATACACCGTTATAATTTATGTGTGCTTATAATTAAAAGTTAAGCACATAGCATGTGGTTATATTAAAATATATAATGCTACATCTACGGTGATCAACACTTTAATTGCTAATATTGAGTGTAATACCTGATGTGTATTGTCAAGATATTACGATTTAATATATAAATTTATCGAGATATTACAATTCAATATATAATACTGTTATATACTCATAAGTTTATCATTAAAAGAATATTATTCCTTCTATAATTGATAGTATGGTGTTTTTTTTTATAAAAAGCTGAGCATAGACTAAAATAATTAGTAATTAACGGAATCATTATACTAAGAATAATACAAATTACAATTATAATTAATAATCTAACATTGGTAGAGTGCGTGGAAAAAAGAAAAGAAAAGACAGAGATCTTTCCGGTATAGCTATTATGGCCTGGCTGTGATATCTACTACACGAAGGGTCTATGTAATAGTTGGCTGTAATAGAGATTACGTTGTGATATCTATTACTCCAAACAAATATTGGCTGTAATAGGCAGTCAACAAGGAATGGACCTGTAATGTGATAGTTAGTAGCTGCAACCCAAACATGTTGATGTTTTTGTGCATTTTTTTTACCAACGAAACTGATGTGACTAATATGGGAAGATTTGCATGCATTCGGAGAGATTAGTTGAACCGACATGTTGAAATATCTTGTGTCATCATAAAGCATATCACAAGGGATTAATTTGGAGCGTCTCGACTTATCTACAACTCATTCGTTCAGAATAAGAAGCATATCCCTAAATGGTGACCCGAGGATTTAATTCCTCCTAATTAAATGACATATATAGCTTTTGTTAATCAACAAGGAGAAAAAGAGCTTGTCTCGACAAAAATAACTCATATGCAATCCTTACTTGTGGTAGATTCATCATTCAGTAGCTGATCCATCACATCAGATCAAAGAATAAGACGTTCATGGCTAGGCTATGTCGTGTACCTACGAGCTAATATATTCAATAAGTGTACTTCACGGGGATCTCGCTTTCGCATTAAATGGCATCACGGATGAATCGCATCTACTAGGAGTAATTGAGTTTTGCCAAAGAGTGGATCTAGTTTCCCTCAAAAGTAATTCGAATAACTAAAGATAGTAATCAAAGCACACCCAAATATGCTACATGTAATAAGCAAATTCATAAAGACGAATCGGTTCAATAGTCACATAACACCTTAAAAATGGTTATTTATTTGAGAGAGAGAAATGCCTAAAACCCTATAAATTGTCTCTTTCTAGGATAGGAAAAAAGGAAATTTCATGGCCAATCAGGTGGTACTATACTAATATTCGGTCATGGTAGCAAAAATGAATTAATGAAAAACATATTCAAAATGTTTCAGCTGTAAATTGTAATTGAAAATGAAAATATTTTCTTCTTTAGGAAAACGATTTTTAAAATATCAATTTTTTAGTGTCAAATAAGCACCCCAATACTTTGATTGGTACGTGGGAGGTGCGAAGGGATTGATGTAGAAGATTGTTTTGGAAGTCCATGTGGTTGGTGGAATCGTGCCACCAAACACCACAGGTAGGATGTCTTAAAATGTAACATCAAATAAAAAGAATGTGTGGCACACAAAAAGAGAAAAGCAGAGATGAAATGTTAGAGTCAAATTTACTGAATTAGCCTCTATATTGAGTAAGTTTACAAAAATAATACGCATTCTATTTTGTGTAAGCAAACACTAATCACCACTTAATAGAAAGATGCACGACTTCTTCGCAAGCATAACATGCGGATGACGACGACAGACGACAATGAATTGGATGGTACGTAGGGTTTAGCTTAGCACATATTACCCCTTGAACAGCCCCTTTCATCTAATTGTGCAGAAATTCTAAATTCTCATAATCTAGGCTCATTTAGGTTTCAAATCAACCTAGGAAAGCATGGCTCGCATGAAATTATTGGAGTACCCATGTCAAATGAGAAGCTCCTCACTTTTTCCCCGGAATTTATATGTTGCATGTCGTCGGGATCAAACATAGTGCATGTATAAATTGACCCATCAATACTGCTTCTTTCTATATCAACATATTTTGGTCAAAACACCATTTTGTGTCACTTTTTAGATTTCCCAATAAATTACTCTTCCATTACATAGTACAAATACCGCAGATCTTCCATAGCCACCTACTTCATAAACTAACTACCCACACCTATATCTGCATTATTGAGGGAATGGCTGTATAACTTGTGTTTGTCTCACTTCTTGGATATTCCATTATCACCCTTACATCAAAATAAATAGAGTACCAAAAGTCACTTTTTACCCTATTACCTCTCACCCTCCTCTACTTTAGAAAATATCACTTACCATCCTCTAACAAAATCTCATTGCTAAAGGATCAAATTGCCCCTCTTTAGAATTTTCAATCCTTCAAGTCCCCTGCAAACCCTAACCTCAATCACCCGCAAACCCTCACCTCTTTCATTGTCTACCACCATCCACCGCCACCGTGACGGTGTGCACAGCGTCGGAAGGCTTCAACGGTGGGCAGGTGGCACAACTGAGTTTAGCGTTCGGCTGTTACTTTTTGAGTTCAGTTTTGGTGTTTGGTGCGGTAGGAAATCTAGGGCTTGGGCGGTGCAATTTCAAAAAGAAAGCGACGATTTTGTAAATAAGATAATTATGTGGAGATACAAAGTAGTCTCTAATGACAAAACTCAATGTGTTAATCGGTGTTTTATCAAAGTAGAGGAGGGTAAGTAGTAATGAGATGAAATATGAGGATGATTTTTTTTGTATTTTATCAAAATAAAGCCATGACTCTTTCATTCTTCATCATATAATCACCCAGCTGACACATATTTAATAACTAGTTACTACATTCATTTAATTAGATAATCACCGAACTTTTTTCAAAAGAAAATGATTTATTTTTTCTATCCATAATCACGCACGCAAATACGTGCCTCAACACTGGTTTCCCTTAAATCGAGATTAATAAAATTCAAAAGCAAAGAGCTGCTCCATTGCAAAGAGACAAGAAGAAGCAAGTAAGAACATGACATTGAATTGAATACTCTGATGGAATCTGATAGCCACAGCACATTCAAGGTCCCACCAACATTAAACAAATAAGAAAGATAAAAAGAAGAAAATGGGAAGCACGAAATCTGTTCTTGGAGAGAAAAAAACAAAGGAAAGGAAAAGAAAAGAAGGAAACGAAACCTGGAAAAGTCCAATAAATTATTGTCATCGTGGGGTCCAAATTTTGTTTGTGATTTAGTCTGTGAAAGTGCCAATAAAAAATGACAAACTGCAATAAATAGCATAAAATTGCATCGTTGAAGAATTTTTTGACGCATGACGTGCGAGTTCTCGATTGCTCGCAGAAGGATTCAAGATGGGTCGAACTACTTGCCAAAACCCTAATTTTGTTCTTTTTCCTAATCTCCTAAATTTGGAAACAAAAAGTGTTGTGGCCAGTGGAAAATGAATACGAGTTTTTTTTTTTATATTTCACACTTACTCAGACAATTTATATAAAAATGAACGAGATTCCCGCTAGACGTACATTCGCCGAGCGATCCACCTAGCTTGATTAATACTATGCTTTCGTGTCGACTGCGTATGTAATATTCTATTGTTTAGCTGTACTTTGCAAGAACAAACCTTGGAGTGCCCACTTTTTTGCAGCCATAGAAAGATAATACCCGGACACCTAGAAGATCTATGCAAGCGAAGGAAGCAGAATTCACCCCTTACAATGCATTCAAATTACAAGATGAAGAACTAAAAGATGTGGCTGTGATTTATTGAGAAGAACAAAGAAACAGAGAGACTAAGAGGAAAGGAAACTGAACCAATCATTTGAAACTAAGGAAGAGGTCAAAATCTCCAACACGGGCCACCCAGATGGAAATATAGGGACCTCTAGAATGGTAAATCTTGAAGCTCTCTCAAAACATTTCTATTCCTCAAGAACTCATCAGAACCCCTAATCAGGAGCAGGATATTAAGAACATTGCTGGCGAAAATTTCGTATGAGCTTGAGCACAACGACGATCGTGCAATGTGACTTAACTAGTAAATGTTCGACCGTTGACGTTATTCTAGTGCATATGACTAGTGTAAGTGATGAGAGAAGAGACTTGCTGCACTCTCAATAGTTTGTAGGGCCATCTCATTTTCTGCTCTCTGATTGATTGTTTAGTGACACTGTTCATATGATGAACTTAGGGTCAAAACAACGGTTTTTTTAACCAGAAAGACAATAAAGAACAGCAGTATGGGCATGGAGAGAAGAGAAAAAAGGAACCTAATCTTTATGGAATTCATCACTCCCACACAGTGGACCAGAAGATCGCAAAAAGCAAGACACCCAAGAATATATAAGAAAAAGACTCGAATCCACCCAAATTCTTGGGTTCACAGCACAATTTCAATCACCCAAATCATTTTTGAACCCCCTTTTTTCTTCTTTGTTTCGAGAGGGAGACAGAGAGGGATCAAGATACATACCAGGATATAAGGAAGGGTTATGATTTCCCTGATGACGAGCCACTGGAGGCCATAGCCAATGAACCCCATGAAGGCCGACATGAAGAGCACCACCCACAAGGGCATATACATCAAGGCCAATCCCGACGACCACCCAAAGACCTTCCCGAGGTCGGAGGCCACCGCGAGGTAGTTGAGCTGCACCTGCGACACCCCGAGCACCGACTTGAGGCTCGACGAGTAGGCCGAGAAATCGAAGTTGGTCCCGGTGAACGCCTGGATCCAGATCGTCGCCACCAGGATCATCCACTTCCGTGACTGCCCTGCCATGGCGGAGACGACCGGCGAGGAGCGTAAAACAGCTTCCGAGGAGGGCGGAGGAGGGGTTTCCGGTGGGCGCGGTCGACGCGGCGGTGCGGCTGCGGGGCTCAGCTCGGTGTTGGTGAGCCTGCGTCTATGGACTCTCTACGTGGTCTGGTCTCGAACATATATATATATGGTCACGAGGGACTTTGCCTTTAGCTGTGAAGACGGGACGGACCATTTAATATAACTCGATTTGCTCTTTCTTTTTTTCGCACTTCTTTATTTATGAATATTGTGTTAAATATGCCTGATTTTTTTTTCTTTTTTCTTTTAGGATTGTCATTGTGTGCTTTAGGGTTTGTGAGAAGTGAAATTTCCAGATATAGAAAACGTTTTTTTTTAAAAAAAAACTTGTAGAAACTGATATTATTTTTTAGGGAAAATACCACCAAAAACCCCAAACTATGTCACTTGTGACAAATTTACCTTGAACTTTTTTTTGTGACACGAAAAACCCCAAACTATGCCATCTGTGACAAATTTACCTGAACTTTTTTTTGTGACACGAAAAACCCCAAATTATGCCACTTGTGACACATTTATCCAATAATACTTTGGCCCATGGGCATTTTCGTCTTTTTCCTTTTTTGTTTTTTTTCCTTTTTTTTTTCTTTTCTTCTCCGGCGAGAGCAGCCCTCGCCTGAGTTGAGTGAAGTCGCCCGACGCCGGCGAGGGCTGCCCTCGCCGGAGAAGAAAAGAAAAAAAAAAGAAAAAAGACAAAAATGCCCATATGTCAAAGTATTGTGGGGTAAATGTATCATAAATGGCATAGTTTGGGATTTTTCGTGTCACAAAAAAAATTTCGGGGTAAATTTGTCACAAGTGACATAGTTTGAGATTTTTCATGTCACAAAAAAAAAGTTCAGGGTAAATTTATCACAAGTAATATAATTTGGGGTTTTTGGTGCTATTTTCCCTATTTTTTTATTACAAGGTGAATGGAAATCAATTTTTATTATTATTATAGACTGATGACTGATGAGATGAGGAATATCTACCATGAGATGCCTACACGCGCTATTCGCGTGGCGCCATGTGGAAGCGATAGGGCACAGAACTGAAGACGATCTGGTCACCTAGGCCAATTTTTTTTTCCTCTTATATTTAAATTTGAGATAAGTGCATTGAAAATCTTAGAACTTATCACGAAAGTGCAATTGAGTCGTAAAACTTTCAAAAAAGTACAATTAAGTCATTAAACTTGTTATGAAAATACAATCGAGTTTTAAAACTTTCAAAGGAAGGACTTGATTGGACTAATTTGATAAATTTAGAGCTTAACTGCATTTTTTAAAAGTTTTAGGACTCAATTACATTTTCATGATAAGTTTTAGGATTTCCAATACACTTATCCCTAAATATTAATATACAAGAGTGTACGAAAAAAAAAAAAAACAGAACTGAGATTTGGAAAATATTTTCTCCACGTGAGAGCATTTTGGGTGATGGTGGGGACAGGATTCAACTACACGTCAGCATACAGCTGGCACGTGCATCAAGCATGTGAGGCTCCGACGTGGATGGATTATGCCGTGTTTTGCTATCTAAAACCAACTAATTAATCCCGCAATGTCATCTAAATTAGGCTCATTAGATTTCATCAGGAGCTGTCTCAGAAATCTCCTCTTTCTTTTTGTTTATATGTCATCATAGACTTGCATCTTTCGATAGTTTTAGGATTCGATCGATTCCATCTTTCAAGTCGAATAAGTATTTCTCGAGATTTTCGTATCACGTTTCTTATGTTTGGCACCGTCAGGAGAAATTTCTTTTGTAAAACTTACTTTTGCAAAAAAAAGAAAGAAAAAGAAGTGATCACTCATTCTATTGTGTTACTATCGGATTTGATGCATGAGATAATAATGCCAAATATAGAGTATTATCAATTTAATTGAAAAGAAATAATCGCCTATTGGTGGAAACATTGAAAAACTCGGTCGACCCTCTGAATTTTTGGTACGAATTGCTGTTGATAAGATGAGATCGATCTTTTAGATGGTGACTACTTCTACTAATTGATTTGCACAAGTTTCTTAAGTAGATCAAACTATTTCCTGTTATCGACCAAAAAAAAAAAAAACTATTTCCTGTTATGATCAAGAACGTGAATTCCACTAATTAAATCTCTTGCGCCGCTAACCCGAGTTCATTTAATTACTGCAAGGGCATACTTAGAATTACGAAAAAGGACCGTTCGCACATCGTAAACTTGGAGAACTAGGAGTAATCGACTACGAGGACATGGGTGTCCATCAATGGACAGGAATTTAACTAGGAAGACATTGCATGGTGCCAAAATGAATCAAGGTGCCATTAAGATCTTGGAATAATGAGGTTAAGCACATTGAATTGGACCTGCGTGACCCTGAATTTACTAAAGTCGCCTAATTGAGAAAAGTAGGAATTCAAATTTGATTTTGTTACTACTTCAAAACCAGCTGATCAACTTGGCGAGGCTATTTTTGTTTACACGTGATGAGGGATATGCCCTAATCTTTTTTCCGGCCGAGATGCCCTAATTTTGAATTGTATGCTAACTAATTGGATGAATTAAAATATAATGATGGTGATGCTCTAGGTTTTCTAAGATATATTACATTATGAAGAACAAAGGTTATGTGGACCTACAGGAGGAGTTAGTGAAAAAGCTCCATATATTGCGAACGTGAAGGCTGTAACGGAAGTTCATGAGCTTTAGCCAGCTTTCTTTTGAAGAAAAATATATAAAAATATTCAACTGTAGATCATAAAAACGAATATTGATTTGCAATAATTTGCAATATAATATCATATTTATCCAAAATAATATGTTAATTATTAGCGCACGAGTGGAAATTTTCGTAGCAAAATTCAACCTAGTTCTTTGAGCATGCTTGATATTACTAGAATCACTTTTGTGCTTCATTTAACTTGGTTGGTTGAGCGGTAAGCAAGTTCGTCTTCCATAGAACAAGGTTTAGGTTCATTCATGGCAACATTGGTGTCGATGGCGGATGATGAGGCCGAGGCGCAGCAATAAGCTGGGAGAGGCTGTTACAAAGAGAGGAAGATAGGCTTGTGAACATAGTTAATAATTAGGGAAGACGTATAAAACACACGTATCTCTACTTTCGGAACTACAAGTTTCACACCTTGATTCCACAAAATGATGGAATTACCCTCCCCCATAATGTTGTTTTTGTTTGCAAGAAACGACAAGGGGACGCCAAAGGCCTCTGCTCTTTCCACCCTTGAATAGATAGAGAGGGAGATTAGGCTAGTTACCCAAGAACCTGTTCAGAAATATCGTAATGAAAGGAACATACGAGTCCGATTTCTATAAGGTTTCTTTCTTTCCAATTTTCCACACGACGTCATTTCGTCTTTCTGCACATATTAGCACCATCAGCCACATCAAATGTCACATCATCTTGCACAAACGGGAGCTTTAATGGTGTGTATTCTCGTCCCACAAGTCAAACATTTTTTTTGGATCGTTTGAAAAGCGTGAATATTTTTGTCATCACGATTTTCTTTTTTGGGGGGGATTTGGTCTATTCCAAACACCCCAACTTGGATGCACATGCTGTCAATAAGAAAAGAGACATTAGATCAAATTCATGCATTAAACGTCCCCATCCAAGTTACCTCGACAGTTCTAGCTTTGTTTTTTTTTTTTTTTGATATACGAGGAACCGCCCTTACGGCCGGGGTGCCGACAGCACCGCCTAACCAACGGCGACTATACCTCGGGGGGGAGCTAGCCCAGGACCCTACCACCAGGGCCTCCCACTTAAGACGCTAGCGACTGGAAGGTTTGAACTCGTCCCTCTGCGATGAGGGGTAGAGCGCAAACCATCTTAGCCACCCATCGGTAGGTTACAGTTCTAGCTTTGTTCATATTCACAAAAGAAGGAAACGAGTTTAACCATTAACATCACACCTTCAATGAACACACCGACGCTTGATTGCAACTCTTTACCTAACAGAGTTCGCTTAATTTTACTACACGCGATAGTTGGGTTACTTAGGGTGTCTTTGTTTCACTTAAAATTTCATGACGTCGGAAAATATTTCCATGAAAATCATTTTCAAGGAAAATAGTTTAGTTTTCATTTATTTGGTGACTTTGAGAATGTGACTCCCTTCTTGTAAGAATGGGAAGTTATGTTCCCATAATTTAAATTTGTTGTTTTCGATCCATGAGAAACGTTTTTGATAGATCGATTAGTCTTTAATCATCTAAATACTGGAAAGTCGGAAAATAATATCCCCGAAACAAAGTTACTTCAAACAAACGGACCTTTAGATGAGTTTGATGACCACATTATCAAGTATTGAGAGTTAATATTTGCAACACTCGAACTTAGTAAGTGCATTTGATCATCTTTAGGTTCACACTAATTCATTGATTGGACGTAAGTCGAAACTCATTTCATATTTTCAGTAAAGTAAAGGTTTACCTAATCTGTCAAAAGAATAAAAAGTACAGAGAGTTAGAATTTTATATTGCCATAAGATTTACCTAATCCGTGCATGATGTTTACAATTCTATGCGTAAGAAGCTAATGATATTTGTGATTTAATTTTAATCTATTATCAAACAAGTTTTTATTTCATTTAGCACTTAAACTCCTTAACACATTCATGCTTAACTTTTTAGTAATTATTTGTCAATTTTATCAAACGAGCCCTTAAATTGATAGATGTTCTATGCATGCCGGTTCGAGGGCCCCGGTAGTTAAGTTGTATCTTGACTAATCATTTTCAGCAAACCAAACGTGTGAAAGAACTAATTCGCACAAAATTCTTTCACTCAAATAAATACACCCTTAGAGGAATTAGAAGATCAGCCCATTTTTCCGGTCCTATATATGGGCGTTACATAGGCTATGCCGTTACAACTCGGGGGTCAAGTCAAATAGGTCTGAGGCTATGTTTGGTGTGACCATTGCCATAACATTAAGTCGTGCTAGGAGCAACCAATAGTGTGTGGAGTTGGGTCGTGCTATAGGCAATTTAACCCATTCGCTTTCAATACTTAAGACTTAAAATGCTATTGTTCATTCCCTTTTTTTCTTTTTTTTAAGCGGTCCAATGATGTCCAGGTCAGTTTTCATACATCTCGACTAGTCTATCTCCT